AAGAGAAATTTAAAGAAAAAAATATTATTTTTTATTATATAATTTATTATTATCAAATGTATTAAAAAATATTATTTAATATTGACAATTTTTTACCGAAATTTTGAAACATAAATTTACACTTGTTTTATAAGCTACAAAACAAAACAAGGTATCTAGAAATATTCATTTACGAAAGGGTAGAGTCGGATTTGCGTCACTAAAGCCATGCCTACAAGGCTGATAATTTGGCGACTATTGATAATGACTTTGTTAAATCAGCCACGATCTTCCAAATATGTCACTTTACATCATCATCGCATTTTACTTTTGGGCCGCCATTATCTAACATCTTCATCTCCATTGCCTAGTCTACAAACCCAAAAAATAAAAAAATAAAAAAACAAAAAATAAAAAAACTAGAAAAATAAAAAATTCTACTTTTTTTTTTTTGGCATGGAGCATGTTATTATCTAATATCTACATCAGCCAACAGATATTTTAATAAAAAATATTTTACTATCTAAATTATAAATTAGCAATCTAATATTTAGATATTAAAGAAAAAACCCAGAAAACTCTAGATCTTTCATCTTTCTTGTAAGTGGTAGGTTGTACATTTACTTATAAGGAATTTTTTTGGGTATAAACTTATGGGGGATGTTTAGTTTAAGGAAAAGATAAGAAAAAAAAAGGGAAAGAATTTTGTAACTAATTGAATTATATTATTTGTTAAATTTATAATTTAATTATTTAGTTGATTAAAAGATTATCATTCTCCTCTCATTCCATTCATTTTTCTGAATCCAAGGTACCAAACATTCTCTATATAGAATGATTTGTTACTTAATACTTATTTTATTTCAAAATAATTGTGATTTTTTATTTAAATTTATTTTAAACTAATTATCATTTTTTATATTTCAAATAGATAAATATTTTTTTCCTATTTTAATTTTATTATTATCCATTCATTTTAATATTAAAATTCTAATTTTTAAAAAAAATTAAGACTAATATATATTTTT